AGCATTCAACCTACTTTTATTAAAAATGTATTTTACCCTATCTTTTTCCCATTATAAGACTAGGTATATATTTACCAATCTTAATATACCGTAAATACTTGCTTTAACACCCTCTCTTGAATAAACGCCCCTCCTTACCCAAGGGGAAAAATTGCCCCTCTAAAATAATGGCACCAGTGTGGCTAAACGAATATATTTGAGAAACGAAAGGGGCACCTATTTAGATTTTTTGGGAGTCTAAAGACAAAATGTTCATTTAATCAAAATATCCTTTCTTTAAAATTTTCAAATAAGCACTAAATGGCGCACCTAGTAAGGATTGAATTTGGTCACTTCGACTTGGTGTAATGGTTAGCAAGCTTGATCCTTACTGGGCGCTCCACACTTTCGGCCTTGTGCCACAAGTAAGCTACGCTTACTAAAGTCACCTAATGAGGATCGAATTTGTTAAATTGTAATTAATGGTCAGCTACATCAGCTACTTTAACGTTACTTGACTACGAAGCACTCACATATAGTGACTTACTAAACATAGCTTAGATGTGACATAAGGCTGAAAGTATGGAGCATTAAACTCATTCCTCAGTCGTAATTGATCTAGCGAGACAAGCTTGCTAACCATGACACCACATCAAAATGCTAAACCTAACTTGAACATGTACACGGTAAAACTCACTGTGTCAACTAGATTAGATTGCTAACCCTTACTACCACGCCAAGATGCTCAGCACCCACAAATATATATGCAGACGTATGTATATAGCATATCATTTATCAGGTCAGTGATTACTTTCGTTTATTTTGCGTTTTCGTCCAACAATGAAATATTCTGATTGGTCTAGTTTGTACGAGTTGAAACAACGTGATTAGACTGCTAGGACACAGACAGATGCATACACACATATATTCTCCCTCTCTCTCTCACACACACAAACACACATCTACTTAATCACTAGAGCATAAATACAAGCACATTGACATTTTTATTTTTTTCCATTTTTAATAAATTTAAAAATTACTTTTAAATTGTCAAGTTATTGAACCGGCATTTATGAAAGATCTATTCAAAATGGAGTATTGTTACCATATCCGATGACTATCACTCCTTAGTGTCATTAGCGAACATCATTCTTTTTGTTGTTCAATACAGGGTGGAAAGTACAACACTGAAATTCGAAGGCGCATTGGCATAGCGAGAAATGCTTTCCAAAATCAAAGTATTCAGAAACAGAATAAATTCGTTAGAATCAAAGAAAAGAGTACTGAAATGTTACGCAATATCAGTCCTCCTATATGGCAGTGAATGCTGGACAATCTCTTTACAATTGCAGAAGAAAAAGAGACTTGAAGTAACAGATATACAGTTCTACAGAAGGATGCTGAGTAAACCATGAACCGAACACAACGGAGTTTTAGAGAAAATGGAAACAAAAATGACACTTATACTTAACATCAGTTAGATACAGTTGAAATTTCTAGGGCACATAATGAGGAAAGAGGGCTTGGAAAACCCGACACTCACAGTACAGAATGAAAGAAAGACAGGCAGAGGTAAACAAATGCATAACCTACCTAACGAGCGTGTGAAAATGGCTGGCAGAACAAGGTTTAGGAGAAATAACAAAAAGACAAAACTTATTAAGCGCTACAAAGGACCGAAAATTGTGAAGAACTATGATCGCTCACGTCCTGAAGGGACACGGGCGATCATAGACTAGATTGGCAAATGTCATCTTTTTACTATTGAAATATCTAAATGTATTAGTTCTATTCTTATACTTTCTTTTCTTGCACTTCTTGACTGTGGAACTCTCTCCCAGTTTTCTGCTTCCTTGCCACCCTACGATCTTGAAAAATGTGAATGCAACGTCAATCGTCATCTGCCCTTCTAAATCCTGTTCTTTTATTGTCTTTTCTCTTCACTAACGTCTTCTCATTTTCTTTCAATTTCACTAACCCCTTGCGTCTTAATGGCACAATCGCCTTGCTTGGAGTGAAATAATTAAAAAAAAAAAGACGTTGACTTGCATAATGCAATCTAGCACAGTTTATGATAGAGTAGTTTCTATCAGTATTTTATTTATTTGCTTTTTCTGAGTTTGTGTGTCCATTTATGGTGGTTGTTAATAATATATTCACAGAGTCGTTCTTTCTTTGGAGAGTATCCTTTGCCTTGGTTATCTCTCATTTGTACTTTTCTGGGTCGATACATATACGCTTTGCTAAGTGTTGTTAGACACAAATAATTCAATGATTATTTCTATCGACTGGAATCGTAGTATAGTTAACATCCAGTGAATATCGGTTTTTGGTGTATGGATATTCTGAATTGTTTATCATGTAGAGTTTACATGACCCATGGGCAGTATTAAGTGTGTATTGTATACCACCCAAAAGTGTTACCGTCATAGGAAAATTCTATGAACTCTTCGAATACAGTGTTATCCTGGAGAACACTGACATTCTCATTTCCTATAACATTTGCAGTAGGCAGAACTGCATTCTCTCACCAATTCTATTTCTGATCATCATCAGCTGATTGATGCGTCAAATATCAAAGCGTCTCCGTAGAATAACATAGCCATTTTAAACTAACTCAAAGAGGTCAACTCTGCCGACGATCTTGCACTCATGTCATTCACTCGTATCCATCACCAGACATCACAAGTCTGATTGGCTAAGCAATTATGTAACGTGAATTATGCAACTGCACATCATCCAGAAAAAAAAACGCAGGTGCTGTGCATCAAATGTTCCAACAGTAGCTGCAATCACTATCGATGGAGATGCTTTGTAGTGAGTCAAAGATTATATATACCTCAGAAATCTCGTTGATACTGAAAAATGGCGCCCAAAGTGACAACCAGAACCGTAACATATCCATGTCTAAGCAAGACAATTTCAAAAATAAAATCAGCTCCATTCTCTAGTTCTCCTAGGACACGTCGTGAGTTGAATCCTCCTTATTTCTTCCGTTTTTCAAATGTAAGAAAGACGTTCCGCTCAGACAGCTTCTTCTTCAAGAAGCGTCACATTGTGGAACAGCCTCCCACGTGGATGCTTCTCAGAATACTACAATCTTAAACTTTTCGAGTCATGGATAATCATCATAATTTTCTTTTCCCCCTCATATGTCACACCTTTACCATTTGAAATATAACACCCTCAATCATAAATGGCCCTTAAACCTCGTATTGGCTGAAATTTAAAAAAAAAAATAAGATGTAGGCGAAAACAAAATAGTGTGGTATTATGCCAGATAGTGTGATATTGTATTTTAATTTTATACCAGACTGTCAAAGGAAGTAGTCGCCTTCTGAAGCCGTTGTTTCCATTGATGGAAGCATTCCTGAAACTTCGTTTTTGAATAGTAAGTAGCTGCCTCGTGACATTCTCTTGGATTTCGACGTCTTCAATTCTTGTTCCTTTCAGGTGGTATTTGTTTTTGAAAAGGAAAAAGTCGCAGGGAACGAGATATGGGAAATATGGTGCTTTTAGGGCCTAGTAAATATTGTGCTTGGTTAAAATCTACTGCACAAGCCATAGTCACTGGTGGAATATCTGTGGTGTGGTGAGATGTCCACACTCTACACACTTTCCTTCCAAACAATACTATAAACAAAGGAAGTGAGCGAGAACGTTATAACTTAGTGTATATATGCGACAGAATTCAAGATCAATCTGTGCCAAGCGGCTTCACTTTAAGTACTGTAGCTCCTCGTTTACTGTAGACCTCGTTTATACTGGAATCTTCCATTGTTTTCGACGTATTAAAGTACAACAACTCTGTTCTTAGAACCGTACAGTCGGACTACTCGCACATGTAATTTGGTTATAGTAGTGAATGTTTGTGTAGAATCAACCGCACTTTTTGGAAATACCAAAAACAGAGAACATGTGAATATAGTTTGCCACAAAGTCCCCAAACCATCCTCCTAAGGTTTTGAATTTAGAGTTGTATAAAATCCCAAACAAGATGATAATGTTATTAATACGCAAGGGGCTACTGTGAATGAAAGAGAATGAAAAGATTGTATAAGGAACTGGGAACCCGGTCCTAAACAAGACATAAACTTCTACTCCTGTACAAAAGGTGTATCTACTTCTATTGAGAAAAAAATGAAAAAATATATAGTAAACAAAATTTCAGATTTTAGGCATAGACGTCATAAGTTAAAGTAAACTTTTAGATGGAAATAGCGGACGAAGGACTCTGTGAGTTTTTTCATGACACCGGAATCATCTCTGGGGAGTGGAGATGGTGAGAATGAGGATGACACACCCATATACACCTTAATCCCTACTTCTGTGCAATCCCCTAGCTCCATCATTCAACACGACGGACAGGTGAACGATGAACGAATACAGCGAAATTAGATATTTATTATTTTTAATGATATTAAAATATTTAAATGTGTGTATGAAATCGGTGTTCGTTCTGGTATTTACTGCTGGGATAATAAATTGTGAATTCAGGATTTTTTGATGGGGTAGTCACAAAACCTACGACAGAAAAATTAATCACATACACTGTAAAATATTGTTTTATTCCAATCCATACACTAGCAATATTGACGATTCAACGATTTCGGTATAACAATGTTTTAATCTTTCACCTTAATTAGTATTACTATACATTTGAACAATTATAGAAAATTTATTTTGATTAAATTAACTTCTTGTCTTAGATAAGCTCCCCCCTTTCTCACATATATTCGTTTCGTAGCCCTGGAACGGTTATTTTAAATAACTTGGGTGAAGGGGACATTTACGGTAAGTGTCATACTCAGCTAATTAATTAATTGGATATAATTTCAGTTTTCCTATCGGCACTCGAAGGCGGTTTGGGGCTCTTTTAAAAACCAGGATTATCAACGCTGCTTTTCAAAGTAGCATGACAGGTCACATCTAAATGTAAATTAATCTCCCTAGTTTGTATGGCGCTGTGATATATGAAAATAAAGTAAATAGTACAATAAGTTAAACAATAATTTCGTTACCTTTAGTATTGCGATATAAACATGGACTTGTAATTTGGTAATCAAATCCAGTAGTCAGCCTTGTAAATTAAATGTTAAAATAATGTTAACAAAGTTCTGAGTTTGCAAGTGTAGTTTCCTCGGGAAAAACATCAATTTTCTTCTTGGTCATCGAGAAGAAGCCGTCAAAACTATAGACATCCGAAAAACTCGTATCGCAGTGAATCCACTTCCGTATAGAGTATAGGATTATTGTACTAAAAGTAATTACGCATGCTGATTGTTGTACGCTGGAAAAGAAAAACACTAACTTGTCGCTTCATCTATCTCTCTATTACAGAATTAGTGAAGAAACGATAAAATTGTTTCAATTTAGATGAAACATCAATCAGAATGAAAAACGAAATCTCGCACATGTGCAGAGAAATGTGAACTCTCGTCCCCTCCCATGAATTAAATATTATTAAAATACAGCAGTTTTAACGTAAATCCTCAAGAATTTATAAGTGTTAGGTAACTTCAAAAGTATGTAATTTTTCTCGATAAAATATTTTAAATTTAACTTACCCTGACTGAATTATTTTACTTTAGGTATAAAAGTTTATACGTCAAACAATCTGAATTTTAAAAGCCAGTTATTTATTTATAGTTCTGCTTGAACGAAGCTATTTCTCTTTTAAAAACAACTATAAAAAGAAATATCGTAGCCGTGCAATGGAGCGTGCAGTTAGGTTGGTTTATTATACAACTAGTAAACCTACGTAACTTATATTAATAACAAATTTTGTACAGGCCGCAAGTGAAGATAGAACTCCGTAAGAATGGTCAACCAGACTTATTCTATGTGCCGTGTCCCTTAAGCACGTGGGCTATCATAGCTCTCCACAATTTCCTGTCCTTGTAGTAGACATTCAGGGAGGGGGCGCAATATAATATGGCCTGTGCACCCCAAATAAGAGACATATGTCTCAAGATGTCCACTAACATTCTAAAAATAAAAGACGTGAGTCTGACAGGTCAACAAGAGGACAAAAACGACAAATTTAAAATTAATACAAAATTTATTTATGTCATATACAAAAGTAGCGTTTCAATTGAAAAAGGTTATTAGAAGTCTGGACGATATGGCCAGAGAGAAGAAAATTCAATTTAAATATCCGGTGGTCGTCGTGAGTAGTTGCTGCTTAAGACCATTAGTGAACCTTTCCTAGTATTTTAATCAAAGTGCACAAAGTAGGTTATTTGAAGTCTAGAAAATATATCCAAAGAGAAGAAAGTTCAATTTAAATGTCCCGTTCCGGTGTTGAGTAGTTGCTGCTTAAGTCCAGTAGTGAACCTTCCATAGTATTTTAACCGAAGTGCACGAGGTAGGTTATTTGAAGTCTGGATGATATAGCCAAAGATAAGTTCAATTGAAATGTCCAATGCGCGTGTTGAGTAGTTCCTGCTAAAATCCAGTGTTGAACTTTCCGTAGTATTTTAACCGAAGTGCAGGAAGTAAGTTATTTGAAGTCTGGACGGTATACCCAAAGAGTAGAAAATTCAATTTAAATGTCCAGTGCTGGTGTTGTCTAGATACTGCTTAAGTCCAATTGTGAACCTTCAGTAATATTTTAAACGAAGTACACGAAATAGATTATTGGAAATCTGGACGATATATCCAAAGATAAAAAAATAGCATATATCCATGCGTCTGAAATCATTATCGTTTGGAAATGAAAATACATTCACTTTTGGATTTTTGGTCTATTTTCATAAATTTCCTTTGCATTTTGGAACAGCGCAAACACACATTTTTTTAATTATTTCAATGAAAACATCTGCAAAATATTTACAAGACAAATAAAATATCAAGCCGAGTCATGAAAACTCAAACACTAAAAATCAAATGAAAATATTTCTCCTGGTTTATACTACAGATAGTGACGTCGACAAATAAGTCCCGCCCGTCGAACAAGGTGGTGTTGGTTTATCATGGGAAATAATTGTGTCTATATTATATTAGTTATCTCCCTTGTATCGTTCAGTATTTGCTCTTTGTCAATATTAAATTTATAATATTCTCTAATTTTATTCACATTCTTAGAAAAAAAAATTCTGCTCTAAAAACTACTTTAAATATCTTCCTCATTTATTTTATCTGATTTCACTAAAATCCTTGCTTGAATTTGTTAAAAGAGAAAATCAGAACAAACTAATGCAAAAATGTAATAATGACCAGACCTGTCACCAGAGTGATTTCAGTGACAGTGGTTTAGCTTTTAGGTTGCGGGTGAGGATATGAATAAGAAAGCACTCCCACCCCCAAACACACACTCCAGATCTTTCTTGGCGATAAGCCTCATCGTAGGGAAGTCTACCCTGAAAACATTAGGATTTCTCTCCCTAGACAGACGAGAAAGCAGGGATTCATACTAAGTCCCCATTACTACTTTTGTTTAACTTCCATTATTGTAGTGATATGTAAATATAGTTAATGCACAGAAACTATATAAGTACCTAAGCAATAAACGGACGGGAAGAATATGATACACAAGATTAATGACTACCGCTGGAAAGAAAAAATACAAAGGAAATCACATTTCATAAGAACTATCTTTTTGGATTCTTGCTTCTGTTGAAATGACTCATTTTAGCTATGGCTATTACCCATGGGGCAGTTGAGTGCATACTACTTCCCATGAGTCAGTAACACTACATTACAATGGCGTCACCGATACCTAAAGAACCGAACGAACAATTGTCACTGGGTAATTATGAATACGCACAAATGTGGCTTAGGATACTAGCCGCTAGAACAAAAAAAAAACTGGAGGATTTAAAATCACTTGGAAGGGAAAAGCAAATAACTGATTTCTTTTTGGCAACTGCTGGTTGTGAGGCCATCATAAAATTATCAGCAATTGCACACCCAAGAAGATATTTGTAAGAAATGACGTTTGACATGTCAACAGTGAAAAACATAGCACCCAAGAAAAAAAAACTAGTGAATGTAAAGAGAGCTAAGTCCATGAATATTTCTCAAAAAGTAAATGAACCAGTTATGTTCTTAGTTTCAAATAGGCTCTTAAATATTGTGAATGAAAAACTAGGATCGGAAAACCAGTTAATCGAAGAGGGTTTTTTTAACCAAATGAAATTGGTAAACAACCTTCAAAATGAGGACTATCGGCAAATGACTTTAATGAATTTACAACTGGGGAAGTTGTTACTAGAACAGTGTGTTGAATTTGTTCAGCAGCAATAATTAATTGGAAAATTTAATGGAACAGAATTTACGTATCTGGACACATACGCGATAAAGAAAAAAAGACAAAATAACGTACTTTTTGTGGATATCAACTTCAAAGAGAAAACCAAAAACGTCCATATAAAAAAAATGTGAGAAGTGTTTCAAAATTAATCATTTTTTTAAACGTATGTGTAAATCCCCCCCCAAAAAAAAACGTAGAGACAATAATGTACAGGATGGTCCGAAAGTTTTGTCACCTCCTACCAAAAAGTAATGGAAGAACAAGTAATACAAAGCACATGTAATGGATTCAGTTTATTCACTTTCATTGACGCTGTCACACAACAAGTAGATCTGTCCATTTTCGTGACACAAAATTTTTGTGCCACGAAAATGGACAGACCTACTTGATGTGTGACAGCGTCAATGAATATTTTGTGACAAAATGATGCAGCCCCATGACCGGTCTGATATTTTACAAAGCTGTGCTCTGTTAATTATTGCTAAAGCTCTCGGAATGGCGTCCTTCAGCTGATGGGTATTCTGTTAGTGTTATCGTTCATGTGAAACTCTCTCCTTGATTATATCCCACAGAGCGTTGTGGCAAGACATGGGGTCTGAACTTCTGGGAGGCCAATGTAAGGATGACAAGAATTTCGGACCACCCTGTAATTCAAATTCGAGCAACTGATAAATTTCGTTTGATGTTAATCCTGAGTGGAAAGATTCTCCAGACAAGCCACTCGTAGTTTCTTGTTTTCAAATCAGTCCGAGTGGGCTATGCACGTCCAAACAACAACTCCCAGCGTCTCATCAGCGGTCTTCCCTAGTCTCGGAGCTAACGGTAAAAAAAAAAAAAAAACTCTGATGTAACCGGTGTTGACAATCATGTTTGCATGCAATCCGAGGCCTCTCCCACGTTTGGCAGACAGTCCAACAAAATGAAGAGGAAATAAATATGAACGTCTTTTCATTTCAAAAAAGGAAATGAAAAGCGGTTATTAAAAATTCGATTCAATAATGTTTTATCGGACATGCAACTAGATACGGGAAGTGACGTGACTTTGATACACAGAAACTTCTGGAAAACTTTGGAAAACCAGTATTAAAGTCTAAATGAATCTTTTTCACGGATTCGTGTTAAAAATGTTACGCTATTTTGAAGCATACAAGGAACTAAAAAAATAAGTTTGACGTTATCGTGGCAAACTGAAAAGAGTCATAGTCTAATAGTAAATGATGCATTGACCATAAATTCTACAAAATTAGTAAACAAAGTCAAGACAGAAGAGACTGGAATGTTAAAAAAAACTATGAAACAAAGTTAAGACTAAAATAAAATGTCTCTCCACCCCCTCCTCATATTTTCAAACACAAAAAATGCCAGTTCATCTTCTACCAATAATTGTGGAAAAACTAAAAAAATACTGGAACAAGATCTACTTGAACGTGTTCCATAAAGAGGGAGAAAATGGCCCTCCTCGTTAGTAATTTTAAGAAAGAAAGACGGGGATCTGCGAATTTGTGGTGACTACAAAAGTGTCAACCACAAAATATGTGCAGACCCATATCCTGTCCTCAATGAAGAATGGGCTTTGAACTCACTTGTAGGCATGAAAACATTCTCTAAAATTGATCTAAAGTCGGCATACCATCAAATATCTATTGATGAAGACTTTAGAAGTCACAACAATAAACACAATAAGCTAATTAAGATGTAAAAGAATCCGTATGGAATTAAAACCGCAAGTGTGATTTTTTTTTTTTTTTAAGGCCGAAAGCGCAAGTTATTGATAGCAACATGAAAAAATACAATATGCTACCAGGTTGACATTTGTGTTGGTGCTATTAACGACGAAGAATTAACATGGAAAACCAATATGGTTTTGAATAAGTAAAAAATGCTGGATTAACAATTAATGAAAAAAAATGTGTGCACAACACTAAAAAATATAATTTTGGGGATATTCCATATCTAACGAAGGTATATCACCAGACCCATCATTAATTGACAAAATATTAAAATCTGAAGTACCTATGAACAAAAAAGAATTGGAATCTTTCTTAGGACTTGTAAATTTCTACAGACGTTATCCAGACCAATACTCCAAATTGAAAGAACCTTTGCAGCTTTAAGAAAAAAGAATGTGTAATTTATTTGGACAAAAGGCCAAGGGGCATTTGAAAATTTAAAGGCTGTTCTGGCAAAGAAGCCAGTAGTAAAAATACTCGACTCTAGAAAGGAAATAGTAGTAACGACTGACGCAAGTAAACACTGAATTTTTGGGATATTAGCACAGGGTGGACATCCAATTATGTATTTTTTGAGAAAGTTCTAAAAAGCCGAATTGAACTACTCAAATATCGAGAAATTGAAACAAGCCTCCAAATAGGCGGTTATCCTAAAAATAATCAAAAACACAGTTAATTTGCGGAATTCTTACTCACATTTTTCATTATTGCTTCTCATGTATAGAATATATTCTTCTTTTATGTGCCGTGTCCCTTCAGGACGTATGCGATCATGGCTCTCCACTTCCCCCTATCCCTTGTAGTTCTCAATATGTTTAGTCCTTTTGCTACTTCTCCGAGACCCTGTTCTGTCATCCACTTGCTTAAACCCGCTAGGTATGTCACGCGTTGCTTTCCCTTGTCTCACTTTCCCTCTATCCGCCCTGTGAGTATCAAATTCTCCTACTTTCTCGTTACGTGTCCCAGAAATTTCAGCTGCCTCTTCCTGATGTTAAGTATAAGCTTCTTCCTTGTTTGCATCTTCTCCAAAACCTCATCGTTGCTCACATGTTCGGTCCCTCAACAAAATATGTTAATGTTCTGAAAATTATCACTATTAAGGTGAAGGTTTAAAGTAGTGTTTTTATTAATGATTGACTAAACAAGCCTACACCCAGTGAGGATCAAACGTACTAATATTTAACCAATCCAGCTTTGTAAGCATTTTCCAATGCCAAGGCATCCAAATGTGATATTGCAGTGAAAAAGAAGTCTGTATTTAGATGTACCACTTTCAGTCTCTTCTAGTCAAGTTATATCAACCCACAAACTCTATACATATGATTCTAAGCTAAATGAAGCCAGACTTGAACTCCACTTGAGCTATGAGTTAATAAATTCAAGAATTCAAATGCAATTGTTATCGCAACAATCCAGCAGAATACAAACACTTCTCAACTCATCAGTAATAAACTTATTTTTTATTGTTATTTTAAGTCTGTTATCACCAAAGTATTAAGACATAGAAAAGATTTATTAGAAACAAATAAGAGAGCTGGACTGCACATCTATTCTGTTTTATGGCAAGGAATACTGAACGCTTTCTCTACAAATAAAGAAGAAACAGATCAAGAGATGTGGTTCTACAGAAAGATGAACAATGGAAAAAAAAATGGTAGCTAGAAAGACACTCACACCCAAAAGTTTTTTTTTCTCTGGGCCACATTTTTGGAATTAAAATTTGCTCACACCTCACCAAATTTTATGTGATAAAAAGTACATTTAAAAATAAAATAAAATTTTTAAAAAAAAAAATGTGAGAGGGTTAAAGGGAGATAACCGCAAATTCGAATTCAGAACATTATCATTGATAACTCTCTTGCAATTTGCAGAGCCTAGTTACTATAATCTTAATACTTGATATAATGCAAAAATACCACAATTACAAGTAATCCATAATAATATTTTAAATTTTGAAATCATATTTATTTTTGCCATATAAATGTTTGGAAACTGTTTCTAAATCTTTGACTTTTTTCAATCATTCTGTCTCACCTGCTATCCTCTTCTGCTGCACTTATGAGGTGCACTGCACTGTTTGGGAACCACTGGTATAAACAAAAAGAGCTTGGAAAATTTAATAGTCACAGACATGCTGAAGTAAGGAGAAGCAGAGAGAGACGGCAAATAATCTACACTCAAAAAATGTCAGTCTTAAAAATACTTGGTCCCAACCACAGATCAGCAGTGATTGGCCAATGACTATGCAAATCAGTAGCACAATTCCAATGCAAATTTTGGCAACAGTACCACCTCGCTACTCTCTCCAAAAAGCCAATTATGAAATAGGACAACTCTTGTTGGAGAAGGTATCAACTCATCTATAAATGCTTCAAGGGAGAAACTGATTTTCCCATTTCCCATAAACACACTAACGTATAGACATATGTACAAACACACACTCGAGATAGATATACACATTTTGATATGTCATGAGAAAATTTTTAAGATAAATGTTTATTTTTATAGAATTATTACAATTAATTTTAAAATACCAAAATGTGTTTTTTTTTAAATTCTATATTTTAGTTAGAGTAAAGGAATCATTTTAGCATCTAAGTTATATCAATAGTATATTTTGTTAAAGATTGTAATAAGCCCAACAAATATTTATGACCTAGAGTCGCCATTGTATATGATGTATATTTGGGCAGACCCCTTTCTTTTAAACGTTTTACTGAATATTACAGACGAGGAAAATTTTATAAATTTTTTATTTAGTTTTTCCAAAATTCTTCCATTTTTACGGTTTGGTGGGAGTAAGTGAGCACAAAAATTTTCCATATTGTCCATTGTCCCAAATGCTTTTTGGTCACTTTGGAATAGATGCTACTACTACTATTCAAACAGCACAAAACTACATCTTAGATAAACATGAAAAAAAATTAACACCTAAAAAATTAACCCCTTGAAAATGGCTAAGGAAGGAAAAAACACATTCATGTCCTACTTATAAGCTGGTAGAATTTTAACAAGCAGTGGTTGCATTATAAACAAACCCATCAGAAATTTAATAATGGCCCATTCTAGAAGCATGAGGATAGTCTACATCTGTGATTGTTCACTTGTCATTATCTTAGTAATATAGATTATATTTTTTGTCTGTCAATCATGAACATTATAATTCCCATTTCTTGAGATGGGAGATGTGATATAGTAATAAATGCAGAGTTAATTCCCCTGTAACTATTTATAGAGATCAATCACATTTCAATGGTAACTGTGGTTACAATAATTTTTTTTTTTGGGAGGGTATGGGAGAAGAAGGAACAACCCTTCTCTTATCCCGAACATTAACAAAGGTATGTACAAAAACAAGACTCAAAACTACAGAGTGAAATTTAAAAGCAACAGACATTTATTACTAAACATTAAAACAATATAGAAAAATACACTATTTTACAAGATAGGCTTGCACAAAAATTATTAGACGCTGATGTCAGAGCAGATGGACATGTGTTTTTTCCTTTTTGTACACCTTACTTAAAAAGCAAAGCCGGATAACATATGAAGAAATATATGATCTTAAAAGATTTCAAAATAGTCTTCAAAAAATGGGGAAAAAAAACTTTGGTAAGGTTATTGATTTACCCAAGAAAAGAAGGTTAATGAAGGATGATAATGATGAGAAATATATGGGTGATTTTAACAAAACAAGATGAGGATTTTTTTCATGAAATTACACATTTGAAGTCATGTCAGTGACTTGTTTCTGGAAAATAAAGTAAACACAAATTGTTCCTTAAAAACGAGTTTTATAATTAAAATATTTGTTATTATGAAGAATAATAGCATAAAGAAAAAAATTAAATTAACTTTCTGTGACAAAATTCTTAATGAGATTTTTTGTGAATTTCAGTTTAAAATAATCACAAAAAAATGTAAAAAGGAGAAAGACAATATCAATATGACAATGCATGTCTTCTCTTTATTTTTGTTTGCGCTATATTTTTAAGAATAGATGTAAAAAATATTAATAAATTTATTGAATTTAATTTTTGACATTAACTTTGTGATAAATTCTTTATTAATAAATGTCATTTTTCATTAATTTCACAGAAAAACATTACATTTTTAATTGTCTTTTATTTATTTATGAAGGTCAGAAAAATTCAACATACTTTTTGAAAAATAAATACATGTTTGTTCTGTTAAAGAAAAACAAATTATTCATAAGAAGTTAATTTTTTACTTCATATGTTCATTGTTAAAGAACAATAGCATAATAATAAAAATGTTAAATTTAAATTAATTTTATGAATTCTTAATGACATTTTTGTGAATCTCATACTGAAAAAGTTTGTTTAAAGATAAAATATGCAAGTTCAGATAAAATAAATAATTTCTATCTTCATTATCTTAAATAATAGACTTAAGTTAATCCAAAGGTAAAAATGTAAAACTTTCTTTAAACACAATTAATTTCTTAATCCTATTCCAACAACAAACTTTCACATGTTAACTGTTTGCTCCCAGTCACACATAGGCCTAAACAGTGTAGAGGCCTGGTATAAGGATCACCTTGAGTATCATGCTATTACATTTGATTCAATGAACATAGGTGCTTTAAATGGATATCTTTTGTATTGATTTGCCAACCTCTGTAGGCGCCTGTTTCATCTCCAGTTCATTGTCAGACATATTCACTTGTGATGAATGCAGTAAAAATAGGTATATTTTTCTTTGCATGTCAAGGTTCACCAGGTTAAAGTGGCAGAGGGCTTAGAGGTTAAAATGAGCAGCTGATTTACCAATGAAGGATGATAATGATGAAGAAACACACAGGTAATTTTAACAAAACAAGATATGGAATTTTTTAATGAATTTTCATGAATTTACATGCTTATAGAATATATGATTTGCCTACATTCAAAAATAGATGAAGATAGTTAAAATACTTAGCTTTTCTTGGATTGTTTGAAGTGCTGTGTGCTGTTTAGAGATCGATAATATAATTGACGAGTAATTTTACACTGGCGAGAACTTCAACACTGGTTGCGAGGAAATGAAATGAAACTTTTCACATAACTTCAGACACTGTTCTCTGATTAATTTAATTTTTTTCCTCATTTTAAAACAAAAATTTGCATAATGTCACTGAGTAGCTAATTTCTATGAAGACAAGGTTTTCATTGGTCCAAAAACAATTTCGCACAGGCTCGCAAATTACTTTTCTTCTTCTTCCTTAGTCCTGAATTTAAAGGAAGTGGGTGAAGGGGGTTATCATTATTTCACACTCATTACAAAGTAATACAAACTTAAGGCAGAAAATACTCTTTGAAAATAGGTGAACTCACATAATTGAAAGAGGAAAAAATCACAGTACGACAGTTTCTTAGGCAATTTCAAACCATTGGTGTCTCGGGACTTTTTACAGTTTATCTTTTATATTGTACAGTTCTTTTAACAGTTTTCAGTTCCATTTTATGTATGCTTCTCAGATGGCAGCCAAAAATTTCTTTCCCTTCTGTGTTCTTAACTTTTCAGGGTAAAATTTTTGAATCACTTGTCTTCTGTCTTTATCTAAGCATTCAGTTCTTTGAAAATTTGATCTCCTTTGGAATTTGGTCACTTTCTGAAACTTATCCGCTGGCCCTTCTCTTTATATAACAATTGAAGGGGATCCAGACAGACCTTAACTTCAAATTTAAGTGAGTGTAAGCCCATGCTATCGATTGGATAATAAATAGAAATAGTATATATATATTTTTTTAATTTAAAAAATTATTTGAAACAATCCACCTTGATCAAAATATTTTTGGCCAATTCTAAAAACAGAAAATTTCACAGACAAATGTTACTATTTTTCTGGCTTTCTTTAAAATACAATTCTCTAAAAAGTATATGTCTAAGACTAACTTAGACGATTATAATTTTTATTTATTTGTTTATTTACACTTTTTATTAACTATTATTTTTAATTACTTTATATATTAAAATGAAATCATGGATTGCTACAGATAAGCACACAGTATATTTTGTCTCATCATTCATTGTTACTGATAGTTGCCCAGCACAACACAAAATTAACATGATACGACCTAATATTAATGTATAGAGATGCTTCTCTGGTTGAATGTTTAGCATCCCACTACCACCTTTTTTATCAATATCAATTTTCGTACAAAAAGTGGATCACAGACCTTATTCAGCTTAGTAAATATTTTCAGAAAATCTCAACTTCTAATTGGTCACTTACTATTTAATAACATCGACCTAGTTCTTGATCTGACCAAAAAGATAATTCCACTAAAATCTATCAAGCTTCTGTGAGCCTATCACGTGACCAAAGTTAGCAATAAAATATGAAACGTCTTTCATCTTTGACAGTGCACCGATAGAATGCTTTGAACTCGTCACACAGTTCCAGGCTTTACGTTAAGGCTCATTATCATGATTCCAGCCTGAGAGAATGCTCATTCACACAGCAATATTTTATGACGAACAATCCACTCAAGTTTTCCACATTCAACTTAACACTTTTTCATACGCTTTCAAGCTCAACGTTAAGTATTGCAATTAACATAAACACAGCTTGTTAAGAACCACTTATTTCAACTAGAGAATATTTTCTTTGAACAAGTGAAAACAAATCAAAGAGCAACAATTCCGTAAACGTTAAAGTAAGTCGTAAACAATATTTCTCTATTTCAAATACAAACTTGAACTGTTTATTTTTTCTTAAATTGCAATAATACCAAAACACACTTTCTCATTATTGTACAGATCATTCAACAAATTATAATCTATCAAACCAGAACTTTGATAACCTTTCATAAACATAAAATGACGTTTTAACTTTTTAAATCCAACTCTTTACTCCAGTTGTTTTTGTATCTCTTGTTTATATAAATATTTTATTCATTGTTGTGCAAAAACTGTTATTTCTCATGTTGTCCGTATTCTATGTTTGTTGAATACTAAAATTTAATGTGAGAGGAAATTGTTAATTTCATCACGCAGCCTAATTTACTCAACAATTTTTGATCAATTCATTAACACAACCTCCACAAATGTTTCTATTGAAAACTGAGTTTGGTCCTCACTCCAATTTCGGACTTGAAAACCCCAATTAGGGCTGTTAAGTAAAATCACTCAAATGATATCTTTTCCCGTAAGAAAAGTGGTTTCTCTACTCACAACTCCAAATCATGCAATTAAAAAAAGTTTCTTTTTCAATTTCAATGCTGAATGGATGGAAATTCAAAAAAATAATAACTATAACTACCCTATATTACTAATCACCTTTATTCTGCTGTTGTTTTTACCTACTCCTATTGCGCTTTTAGCTCAAAAGAATGAATAAAAGCACTGCGTTAAAAAAAATAATATTTTTTCCGATTATGCATTTTTATTTATTCTTGTGCAAGTTAGTTCTAACTTCTAAGGTAGAACAACTGGAGTTATCTCCGCTTATTAATTCAGTGAATTAAGATACACCACTAGGTGCCGTGAGTGAATAGAGTAAACACTTTGACTTCCGTCGTGTTTCAGAATGGCTGATTTTGATACAATATACCAAGAAGAAGATGATGCTGGCGGGCCACTGGAAGAATTTCTTATTACCGTACCAGACCCAGTAATAATCCGAGGTGCAGGAAATGTCACAATGTAAGCCTTGCCTTCCAGTTTTATTTCCGATGTTCAAGTTCTTTTTAGCTTTTCTTTCGTTTTGGAATAATAATAATAATAACAACTGTGTATAATTTATTTAGTCTATGTCTCCTGCTTTCATGTTATTTCCGCTAATTTAAGCAAACAATGTCCAGATTCGCAAGAAACAAAGGTAAAATCTGTATGAATGTTATTTTCTCCTTAGTGACTGATTTCATTTTCAAATCCAAGTGCGCTTGTACTTATCTTTAAAAACTCATTATCTTTTTTGTTTTTATGTCCGCCCACGAATGTAACTAACAACCGGTAAAATAAAGCTTTCTTAAATATTTTTAAAACAGTCTTTTTTTATTAATGTGTAAAGAAAAGTTAAACTGTTCACGTTGCCTCATTCAAATTGTCTTTTTTTTTTCTATTTTAATGAAACTCTTTCGTTATACTTCGTTTTCCTTCAAAAAGGCTTCTAAATTATGTTCAAAATTGAATAAATTGGAAAATTAAAATAGAAGGCATTAAAAATATTGCATGAAAGAATTTTCTTTTCGTCATTACCATCTCTTCAAGAAAATCGTTTCAGAACAAATCAGCAACAGATCTGACGCTAGATAGAGAAAGTAATAAGAAGAGTAAAGAGTGAATTTAAATTTTATTTAATTTTTTTTCGTTTGTAAAACAAAGCTTCCCATCCCCTAGTCGTACATATTTTTCCTAGCGTGTAAAATAAAAATAGAGAATATTTTCAATGATCGTTAAGAAACTAAAAAAAAAGTTTAAGAGAAAAGACTAAACGTAAAGAAAGACTAAGATTCAAAAGAAAGATCAATGAATTGAATGGAGTTGCTGCTTCTCATCTCGGTATTTTAACAAAATAGTAGCACACTGGAAGAATTGTTGAAAATGAAAGGAAAGGTCAACTTTCGCGGATTTTAAATAAATATGGTCTATTTTGCAACAGTTATTTGAATTTAAGTCATTTAAATTTGCTTTGATAGTAAATGAAATTTGCTACATATACATGTACAACTTTGAGAAAATTAAATTATTTGTGTATGTGTTTCAGTTTCACATGTATTCTTTTTTTTCTTTCTTTTCCTGTTGTATTTTTTTCCATGGAGATGTCGATGGGTTTTTTTTTTTTTTTTTTGGTTTTTTTTTCAGAAAGAATTATTGAACAATGTTACAATATGTATCATAAAACACTTAATAACTTCTCAAATTATTTTACTTATTTTTTATATGCTTATGTCTGTTTAATAAATCAAACTACCTTCGTTTCTCGTTTTAGAAATTTAAAAAAAAACAGTTAATCTGGTACAAAGTTTTATTTTGAACTAGAAAAAAAGAATTGTAAAAATTATTTTAGTTCCAGTCTCGCTTTTTTTCATTTATATTTTTCATGCCCCTTTTTTCTTTTCTTTATTCAACTTCTTATTGTGTGAAATTTCTTTCTCAACTTCATATATTGTGAATTTTTTGTGCCTCTATCCTCCGTTTCAATGCCTGAAAAGTTGTGTGTATGTTACACCTTTCTACTTAACTTCATATTCTGAATAATACACTAAGTGTATTATTTTTAATTTAAAAATAATGAAATAATTTAATTTATGCTCTAGTTAAAAAAAAAAAAAAAATGAAAATAATTTTAAAGTTCTGACCGATTTCTAAATTGCGTTTTTTTCCAATCCATATACAAAGATAGGTCTCTAACTTTATTTTCGTTTTACAACTTATTGGTCACAGTAGTAAGTTGAAATATTTAATTTTTTTATTTATTAGGAAAAGCATTCACAATATGAAGTTAGGTAAACTAAACAATAAGGCAGGTAATTCAGTGTATGGAAAACATTTTTGGATTCTACAATTGATGATGGCCTCCCTGAGAATTCGTAATTAATTTTTTTTTTCTTTAGCACTTTTCCCTTAGTCTCTTTTGAATTGAAAAATTCGAATGTACTACAATGGAATTATCCTCTGTTAAAGTAAATGTAGGCACCAGTGTAAAGTTTTCTAAGTTAGCTGGGCACAATTCAATTTCTTCATTATGCTGTTTTCGATAAACGGTAGATTGCTAAAATCATTTGTGCTTTTAGTTTTTAAAGTTTCATTCGTTATTTATTGAACGCCACTATCCAATTTAATTAACCATTTATGCTAAAAAAAAAACTACCTAAATTGAATGTTTTAAAAAGGATACTGTGACAAAATCGTGTCATATGGTATATACATTTCAAGAAATTTAAAGCATTTTTTTAAAGTTTTTTAAACTAATAATTTTAGTACTCCCACTGATAAAGGAAAAAAAATTATTTTTACTAAAATTTCAAACTTTCTGAAAAGGATAAAAAAATCTTATGATTTTCCCTAATAAAGATTTTGACAACAAAACATTTTTTTTTTTTTTTTTAAGTTTGGGGCATTTTTTTCATAGTATGCTAATTTTTTAGCGAATCAGTGGGGGTACCTTCAAAAATGAGGAAAAAATGACCCCCAAAACTTCGTCAGTATGTTTCTTAAGAGAAAAGACCAAAGGATTTTTATTATTAAATTATATATTTTTTTAATCCTTTTTGGATAAGTTTTTCTTGCATCAATCAAGATTTTTTTTTTTTGTCAATCAGGTCCCCGATGTTGCAGAAAATCTGCTCTGAATCGTAAAATAAAAAAAGCAGTAATACAACTACATTTTAGAAAAGTGGACACTAAAGATTTTTAGAAGTTTCAATTTTTACAAGAATTGTTTTTATTCTCATTAGAATAATTTATAAACTTAGGTACCTCCATGAAATCGCTAAAAAGAGTATAGATAGCATGATGAAAAGGACGCCAAACTTGATTAAAACAAAATTTTATCGTCTGAATGTTTGTTGTTATTAAGAGGAAAGATCAAAGTATTTTGGGGATATATTTTACATTTTTTTTTTAACCGTTCCTAGCACGTCCGAAATTTTCGTTAAATTTTGTTTTGGGGGGTTGAGTCAGCAAAATTAACAGATAATCAATCATGTCAATCATTTTTTTTCCATTTTATAAAAAAAAAAATGAATATCTCAGTCTGAAATTCTTTTAAAAATCAATTATCATTTTTTCAAAACTGATTTTTTTAAGAAAATCAGAAATTATAATGTTTATTTAAAATATTTTGAAAGCAGCATTATTTAGTTTGTGCACCGAAAAGGTGTAGTTTGAAAATTAAACAAAGCAGGTCATAACATTTCGTGTTACTTGAAAGATGATGAATGACATATTGACTGATTACGTGAGGATAATTTGTTCTACAGAAGGAGAGAAGTGAAATTATTTACCTCGTTATTTTTAAGGAAAACTTTCAGCGCTACAATTTTTTCCTTTTTTTTTTTTTTTTTTTTTGTACTTAGCTTTCACCTTTGCGTTTACAATGATTTATGGAAATTAAAGAAATTAAAATAACTGTTAAGAGTGAGATTAAAGGTATCTAATTGATTTATAGGTACATAAATTTCATAAGATGATAAGGATACTTGTAGGTACCCTTCTCAGTTGAAATTGAAAAATCAAATAAACTTCTCCACATGTTTTGCAAAAGTAAAGGCCTTAACAGCAGAGAACAATGCTTGACTCAAATAACGCAACTTTAAATGTAAAAATCTATTATAATTAAAGAAATAACATAATTGTATTAAAAATTCGTTTTTCATTGAAAAATGTTTTTGCTTTCAGAAATTATTCATAAAAGCAAATAAAAGTATTTGAAATTAAATAATGTCTTTATTTTATTGAGTTGTGTGTGTGGGGGGGGTCAATTAAAAAAAATACATGATTTGCTTTCTTCAAAGCCTTGTGTTTTTAACTAATATAATCACTAAACTGAATGCGACTGAATTTCTAGTTTTCATAAAATTAGTTGGGGCAGTGTAATATTTAAAAAAAAAAATATTTTTTCTATGACTTTAAAAGAACAAAACATGTTTATAATTTCCATCATTTGTAAATAGTTTCTGAAAGTTTCATCAACATCCGACAATTATTTTTATTTTTGTTAGATTTTCCAAATTAATGTCTGTCATACAAAAAAAAAAAGTGCTGAAAATTTATTTTACTAGCTCTCATGGAGGTACCTAATTTTACAACTCCTGTCTGTCGGTCACCTACTGCAGTGTTATAAAATGCATTTCTGCAATATTTTGAAACTTAATGTTTCAAATCAGATTCATTTAACTTAGGTACCTCCACGAAATCGCTAAAAAAAGAGCATAGCTTGATGAAAAAGACGCCAACCTTGCCGAAAACAAAATTTTATTGTCTAAATGCTTATGTTATTATTTAGAGGAAAGACCAAAGTTTTTTTTAATTATTTTTAAAAATTTTCCTTCTTTTTAGAAAATTCTAAATTTTGATTAAAAAAACCTTGTTTCTATTTGTATCAGCGGAACTAGTAAATAACATAGACAATTTTTAGCACGTTTTTTGGTATGACACATTAATTTGAAAAATCGTTCAAAAATAGAAATAATTATCGGATGTTAATGAAACTTTCAGGAACTATTCACAGATGATCGAAATTATTATAAATATGTTTTTTTTATGAAAGTCATGGTAGAAATATTTTAAAAAATATTTATTACCCCTCCTCCCCATAACTAATTTTATGAAAACGCTAGAAATTGATCACATCGGTTTTAGTGATTACAATAATTAAAAAGCACAGGGCTTTGAGGAATGCAAATCATGTTTTTTTTTTTTTTTGTTTTTAATTGGATACCCAGTACCTGAAAATCAGCTCTGAATTGTAACATACAAAACTCAATAAAACAAATATATTATTTAATTTCAAATGCTTTTATTTGCTTTTAGTTGTTTTTATGAATATGGACAATATTTTCTGAAAGCAAAAAAATTTTTCGATGAAAAATGAATTTTAATACAATTATTTGTTATTTCATTAATTATAATAGATTTTACATTTAAGTTGTTAAAATATTATAAAATTAGTTAAAAGCCGCACAGGGCTTTCCTAAGTG